CAGACCCTGTTCGCCGGTTACACCGACAACATCATCCGTGCTTGGGGTGTTATGTCCAGGGCATAAATGCTCTCGGTAGGGTAAGGCAAATAAAGGTTGCGAAGGAAGGAGACTGGAAGCGACATGTAAAAAGCTGTCGTGGAGAGGCAGCAGTAGATCATGGTGGGGCGTCAATCGGCTGGCTTCCTCGTTTGGTCATTATTGAAGCACGGGCATGGGGGAAGGTACATCAATCTGATGAGAACATGAAGCATTTGCAGGCTATTGGAAGCCTTCGAAGGCACAGGACATCGTGTTGTTTCTTCTTCCAAAGGGAACTCGTACAGGTTTCAAAAATTTCATTTGTCCTCAAAGTACTCTTTCTGAATGGCAACTTTCAAAAACTGTAGTGTGATCGTCCCCAACCTACCACTCTTGAAGGCAACTTAGCCCACGGGCAATCATCCCATGGTCGCCCCTCCCAGGGCTCAAGTCTGCAGACATGAATTCCTTCCCATGCCACACCCTTTTACGCTATTAAACACTGGCACCAATTCGACTCGTCGGATTACCAGGGGAAAAATTGACTTCTTACTCTTTCGTCGCTGACCTGTTCAGCAACTCGATTCCGAACCACGGTAGCGTGGCTAAAGAACTAATATATACATGATCGCAAATAGATCCACCTCACTGGTCAAATCAGGCAAGCTTCATAAGTTGGTACCAGAGACGCCCTTTCGATGGGCAGACATTGCTCATCTCGCCTGCCCTGTGTCTCTTTCACCCCGCTGCGCCCCCCTTACGATGAATCGAAATAGATAAACGTGGGCGAAGCTGTCGAACTTGCCGCATGTACTAATCTACATGAAGGGGGGGAGGGAGAAGGGGTAGCCACCATTCTTGATACGGAAGATGCTGAGCAAAAAGCTATAAAGAATGAATAGCACACCTCCCCAAGCCAGAACTGCTACCTGCTGAGTACGATAATCGGCAATTCGGGGAACCTTGACCGCCAAGGAAATAGCACAGAAGGCAAGGGTTCCGTCTGTCGGACATATTAGTATCCTACATGATGAGAGGGGGGAATGGAGCAAGAACTTACAAATCGCAGCAATGACCTGCGTCTCCATCCCAAACTGACTTTGGAAGCTTCCTGCAAAGTAGCTGATGCCGCCCTTTCCATCCCCAGCAATGTAAGGAACCTTGCGGATGTGATTGAACATGTGGCCACTAATGAAAACTAGAATCAAAATCAGGCTGATAGAAGCCCAGACATTACGGCTCTGAACAATTGGCCAGAGGTATGGCGACGCCGTCACCAACAGACTGATTCCACCAGCGAAAATACCAACCCCCATGATCCATGCTGTCCAATTTATAGGGCGCTTGATCGGGGGATGAGGGCGGTCGGGAAGTTGTCGTGCCAGCCAAGCTTGTACGTGCTCCGCGCTGGGGGGACTGAGGAGAATTAGCTGACATCTATATTTGCGGGAATATGCGATCTCACCCAGCTGTGAAGTCGTATCGAATTGGGTCGGGCGAAGCGACAGCATGAGGACCCTCGGTGGGAGGGAAGAAGAGAAGGACTGGAGCAGTTTGTAGACCAAGCTATTGAGTATGTCAGCGTGCATGTCCTCAGTCCAATTGACTTGAGATGTTCGATTTTACCGAAACAAAGATATCTCTGCCATCAGCGAAGTCAAGGACACCAAACAGCGTTCGAGACTTGCCCGCTTTGTCTCCTTTGACCCAGCTCTTGGCGAGAATATCAAATTCGGGTTGGAAGGATTGGCAGAGTTGGCAACCAAAGCGTGCGTCCATGGCAGTCAGCAGCACTGCCGCACTGTAGTCCCGCGGTGCAGCCGTCCATGATCCGTAGCTGGAAGTGGCGAGCTTCACTGGCGAGGAGCTTAATGACTTGGCATGGAACTCGTCGAATCGGCCGGTGGGAGTCTTTTTGGCAGCAAACGAGCCGGCAAGTAGCAGGCTCACCGATAGCAAGGACGAAAGCAGCCTCATTATCACAGTCACCCTCCTATGAATTGGTTGTCGAGAAGGCGCTGTATTTGTGTTAAACGAGTGTGGAAGTTCAACTGCTTGCTGGGTAGGAGCTTGCCATAAACGTGTTCCTTACCTCTAGAGGTAGTACGTAAGGGGGTTAGTCAGCTATGGAGCCATCGGTGCTTATGTAAAGATCGCAGCAATGTCCGCTAGTCCCAAAGTAGGAGTATGTTTACGCAGTCACAAAACAAGGGCACGTTCTTCGATCTCCGCAACTTCTAATGACATTCTAAACACAGAGATATATTATTCACGGCCTGGCAGCAGAGCAAACGCGGCAGAACACTTCAGAAGGGCCTGCACCCGACGCAGTTCGGTTCACTTCTTAACATTCCGATCGTCCATAAATCACCACACTGTACGCGAGATTGAGGCAGTGAGCAGTGCTTCTGCGACTCAGTCTTTTTGGGCATATTTCCTTACCCATCCTCGGGAGGCTGCATCTTCATCATGGCCGAAAGTCCTGTCCAGGTTAGTTGCGCGCTCACTGAAATAGCTAACTAAATTGATTGTTGGCTCACAAATACAGCGAGTCACTCGCCTTCACGATCTCAGTTTATCACATCAAAACAATCTTCACCAGACCGATCTTGTCCATCGCGATGAAGAGTTTCGCCGCCTCAAGCTGCGCCTTCTTGCTGTGCGAGATGAGAACGCCGCCCTCAAAGACCAGCTAGCGCAGAAGAATTCGCAAACCCAAAGGCTTACGCGCCAATACAACCGACTCTCTGGCAATCTAGGCAACGGCCAGGAAAAGACTCGTGCCCAGGAGGCTAAGATCAAGAAGCAGGCTACAGAGATTGCCAATCTCAAGGTAAGGGGAGTACTCTAGGAGTCGCGGGATACTTTGTTGACAATAGCGAATTTCAGGCTGAAATCGACTCTCTTGGTGGTTCGGTCCAAGACTCGAACAAATTGTCGCAGGAAAAGCTTGCTCTTTCAAGGGAGCTGGATCGCCTTCGGCCAGAGTTGGACCACCTCCAATCACAGCTCGCTCATCACCAGTCCGTTGTCGCCGAAAAACACGATTTGCAACGCCAGCTTGACAGTCTGGAGGTGGAGCTTGAACAAGAGAAACGCACGCGAAAGAAAATGCAAGACCGAGAGGCCAAGTCCACGGCAGATGAACATCGCTCAAGAGCAGAGGAGGCTGAAAAACGACTAGTTGCAGAGAAGGAGATTCAAGGAAAACTCAAGCGACAACATGAGAGTGAGCTAGCAGAGGCGCGTGGTCTGCAAGAACGGCTTGAAGAGCGTCTATCAACGATGAAATTAAAACTCAAGGGGGTTCAGGCAGAATTGAAGGAAACAAAGCTTGAGCTGGACCGATGCCAGACCGCTTTAGCCAAGTCCCAGGTCTCTCGGGAAAAGTTATCCAAGGCCACAGCTTCAAATGCTCAGCTGAACCGGAAGCGCCGGGTTGAAGAGTCGAGTCTAGGAGAAATCACGATCCAAACACCCGGAAATGAAAACGCCATGGAGAAGCGACTGACAAAGAAGCGAGGTGCCGAGAAGACCGCAATGGTCGAGAAGTCGACATTTTCCATCACGCCCTTTTTAAATCGAAGCAAGGATGGATCAGAAGAGTCACTTCTTGCCGATGAAACTGTATGCCCGGTACGCGAACAACCCACACCCCTGGTAGCCGAGATACAAGTCGAGAAAGAGTCTGGCCCTACAGATAACGACATACTGGAAGACGTAGACCCGGTCGACGCCCCAGGAACGAAAATTGCAGCAAATGTCCCTGCATCTTCTGAGACGCGAAAGCCCAGGGGCCGACCAAGGGCGAAGCCGCTGGGTGAAGCTGCTCCATCAAGGAAGAACCTAGCCCCAGTTATTGAGCAAGACGCCGAAGCCAGTGACGCTCCGCCTGTGGTAGTTCCATTCGAGGACAACCAAGAGAACATGGTATCCGTCAAATCTAAATCTCTAAGCATCAAGTCTCGGCCACAGTCAAAGATTCAGGAGACCGCTCGCATCACATCCACACTAGGTGAAGCCAAGAAGAGAAAGCGGAAACTCCTCGGAGCTGGCAACGGAACAATTATGGAAGATGATGGCGAGGCCGAGGCTGTAGCCCGACCCACGCAGAAGGTTCAACATGGCCAAGTTCGCAAGCGGGCTCCGCTTGGGGGGGTGAAGAATGCGTTTGCTGGCAGTAGCTTCTCGCCTCTAAAGCGAGACAAGCGAGGTGTCCACGCCAGTTTTTTGGCATAATGGGATACTAAATGTGTATCACGATTTAGGCTGGGGACGGAGTACAGGATATGGCGGCGTTTGTGCTTTATTGGTTGGATTACTGGCTTTGGGATTTCAGGTTTGGTTTGTTTAGGTACTCGGTCTGTGATGTTTATGTTCAGCATCCCATTGGCATACTTTATGTCACGAATTGACCTTGTTTATCGACCTACAATTGGCATCATTGGTGTCGTGGAGTCGACTTACCCCCAAGAGAACCGCAATTTCAGGGCTCAACATAATACATATATTTAAATATTCAGCTTGTAGATAACCCAACTAACAACGAAAGAACTCATTTACCACCATGATAATCCAACAACGATACCAGGAGGTGTCGTCATCGAACGAGATAGACCGAGTTGGGAAGATGTGAGCTGTCTAGGGTAGCTTGGGTGACTATCTATAAGTGGAGTGCGATTGAGATTTGAATTTCATGTTCTCTTTTTCATTCAAGCACTACGGATTCAATTACAGAGAGGAAATGAAGGTGCTCACAGCCTTCTCAAGGAGAATAAATCGGTCTGCAGTAGCATGGTGTCGCTTTGCGATTCCGAGTTCCTCGACTCGTACACATCAAATTCAGCGTCAATCCTCTTCATCGTCTAATTCAAGATGGAAGCAAAGACAAGGGCGCGACCCATATGCAAGAGATGCTCGTTTGCAAGGACTGAAGAGTAGAGCTGCGTTTAAACTCCTGGAGGCAAGTCTTTCTTGCCATGGGAATCACCGAGAATCCCCCAAAGGTCCATCGAGAGCCCGGCTAACATAACTTTACTTGACCTCGCCAACAGATATGCGAAGGCCACAAGATTTTCAAGCGCGGGCAAACCGTGGTAGACCTGGCAAGCCGATGAAACTAGACAAGAGACCCTAACACAAGTCCATGTCTGACAACCCGTTGCAATTATAGGGATTCGCGCCAGGCAGCTGGTCACAGGTTGCATTAGAACTCACTAAGCCGGACGGCTTGATAGTTGGGATTGATCTTCTCCCCGCACAGCCTCCTAAAGGTGTGACCACATTCCAAGGGGACTTTCTCTCCCCCATGGTACAGAAACTCGTCAAAGACTGTATCCTTGAAATGCAAACCCGGCGAGAACTGTCCCGCCTCAAGTCCGAACCCAAAGCCGAGAAGAAGAAGAGCAAGAAGGAGGGAGTAGCCGAAGAGCCCCAGATAGTCGCTGAGTCTGACAAAAAGAAGAAGAATAACGACAAGAAAGTGAACGAGGACGAGCAGCTGCTAGAAGACGCTAGGCAGTATGACCTTGAGCCACAGAGTTACATCGACATGGAGCGGCAAGCCAGCCATGTTGAAACCGAGGGACAAGGAAGTTTACACCATGGTCCGGGATCGAAGAACATGGTTGACGTATGTTAATTATCGGGTGCTACACAGACTAAAAACTGCTCGCTAACTGTTTTTAAGGTGGTTCTGAGCGACATGTCAGCACCCTGGCAACAAACATCTGGCTATAATGTGAACACCTTGAGTAATCCATATCATAGGTTAATGAACACGAGTGGCATCCCTTTTCATGACCAAGCTCGTAGTCTGGTGGGTTCCTGGGTTCCTTCATTGGGTGCTTTGATAAAACAACAATCAGAGCCATACAGCAAACAAGCGTATTGATAACTGACGGAGAGTCGCCAAAAAGGATCTTTGCAATGCCGCCCTCGATTTTGCGAGTGACACTCTGAAACCCGGCGGGCACTTTGTCTGCAAAGTTTACGTAGGGCGAGGGGACCGAGATTTCGAGCAAAGGGTCCGACTGCTCTTTTGCAATGTTTTCAGAGTCAAGCCAAAATCATCAAGAAGCGTGAGTTTCAACACTCGATGTTGGTCCCTTTCTCCAGCTTACACGAAATAGGAAAGCAGGGAGGTATACTTAATCGGGTTGAAGAGAAAAGGAAATATAGTGGTCAAGTGATACGTATGTCTCTGAAGATTTGGACCCAACTCACGTATGTGACATGGGCACATTGATCGAAAAGCAACCAAGTCAAGTATCAGTCAATTGACGTGAAAGTAAAATTTCCGAATTTTTCAACCGAGTTACTCCAGTTCCAATGCCTGATTTTACCAACTGCACGACTACTTGGCACTATTATCATGACGCTATCAGTTCCCAAGACAAAGCTAGCCCCAAGCAGTCCTTTTTCCATCAAGGTCCATTCCTTAGACCTTGAAACCACGAGATCGTCTGCGACCACGAGCACGCTCGAACTTGCGACCCTTGGACTCAACGTATGGTTTCTAGAGAGAATGTGAGTATTATAGCAATATAAAAACAACCGCAGGCCAACGAGGATCCTCGGTGGAAAGAAGAGCCTACCTTGTTCTTGTGGGGACCCATGCCAAAGTGCTTGACGGCCTCACGGGCGTTCTTGGGACCACGGAGGGTGAGGGTGTTAGCACCAGTGGGGGCACGGAGAGCGAGCTGGTCCAGGGTGATGGCCTCACCACCGGCGGCAACGATGCGAGCACGAGCAGTGGCGGTGAATCGCAGGGCGGCGACGGTCAGCTTGGGGACGGTGAGGAGACGGTTGTCGTCAGTGATGGTGCCGACAACAACGACGGTGCGCTTCTCCTCCTTGGCAGTGTTGGCAACGATGCGGGAGAGAGAGACGGGAGGGCGGTTAATCTTGGACATGAACAGACGTCGAAGAATGACCTTGTTGAAGCTCGAGTCGGTACGGCCTGCAATTCATCGCATTGCCACGGTTAGCGAGTCCCCCCAATATTTCGCATGTTTCGAGCCCGATTGCTTTTCGTGCACAACCTTGATTTGATGGTCGGGATTGGAGATCGACTTACGAGACAGGAAGCGGTAGAGCTTCACCAGGAGCTTGAGGTAGACATTGTCGCTCTTGGGGGCCTGGCGGTGAGTGCCCTTAACGTGGTGGCGGTTGAGATCGATACCTGTAGGGTGAATATAACCGTCAGCCATTGGGTTCAATATATGCTCAACATAGGCAGCTCAGGTCTCGTGGAGAGAAATATCTCCCCACGGACGGCGCCATGGCGCAGGAATCAAGAAAGACCTTATTCAGATGCTCTCTAGATTCCCACTCGCATACGGCAGGCTGATGAAAAGACGGTTCACGTACCCATTGTGTCGGTTGTCGCTGGCGAAGTTGGCGATGGGCTGGAGTGGTGGTGTGCAACAAGGCTTCAGTTCAAAAAGCACGAAGAAATTTCAGGGCATCACCCACATCCGACTGACAATAAAAGTGGAACCAAAATCGATTCAATTGCTTTGTGGAGCGGGCCTGGGGCGGTAAACCTGGGCATTTAGGGCTAATTTGCTGAGCCTGTGTGCGTTGCGACTTGCTTATATAATCTTAACTATGAGTGGGTCTCCAGAACATGACATCCGAAAGACCAAGACTGACTGATAAGATAAGAGTACTTCAGAGGTCTTAATGAATGTCCCCCGCCCAGAATCCAGCCAGATTGAGTTCATGAAAAGGTGCCTTCCCAATAGCGCTGTGCAGGCCATCAATTACACAGTGTAACAATTACAACGTGGGTATTAAATATGAAAGACCTAGTGAAGACTACATTTTCTATCCTGAAGTGGAATCGGATGCAAGAAACTCGTCAGCAGGCAGTTTCAGACCCTGAAGAACCTCTGGAGACTGCCGATTCCAGAGAGGCATGACCAGTGAGCCACTCTGCCCACTGGCGGCCTCATTATTCGTCTATGCCGTTTCTATACGGCTGTAATTTTTTTTCTTGGTTAGAAAGGCCATCCGATCACCTTGCTGGTACAATAGATGGCCAATCGGTGTACCTGCAATATTTCTCTATCATCCGTTGCACCCTTATTCGCCAACTGATATCATGGAGTTTTTCTATTATAGCGAACCTGGGTTGTCATCGTCCGGCTTCAATCCGAGGAGAAAGTCGCGTGTCATCTCAAAGCTGAGCCAACTTGAAGCCATGCTAGGAGCAACTTTCAGAAGGTTTGGAACTATACCCTTGTATAAGCCCCTGATTCCCTCTTGGCTTACGATAACTCGAACAGCATCAAAAATTGATTTATACTGATAGCCTAGTCCAGACATTGTGTTGATTTGGAAGCGCCGACGAAGGACATCGCTGCAGACCAGCTAGGTTAGCTTTCATCTGCGCTTCACTGCTACTCGTTGCACTGGTACTTACAAGGGATAAGTGCACGTTTGAGCGACAGCGCCGGAGATGGCACCGGCCAGCAGTTTTCTGACCGCACTTGGATTCTTTTCTCCTTCGGGAGTAAGAAGAGACCGGGCTGACTCATAAACCATGAAATTCAAGCCAACCTGCTCATTATTAGCTCTTGTTGCCCATCGGGGGTTCGGCAAAAATAGTATCACCAACACGGCGGGAGTGGGATGAACAGTTTGGGAACACATACGTATGGTGCGACGCCAGCGATTGTGGGAATCATGCCTCGATAAAGAGCAGACATGCCGCCCTCGGTCTTATACATATGGGTGAGTGTAGCCCACATGCCAGGCAACTGTTGAGGTCTGCTGCCGAGTTCTGCGAAGCTGGCGGAGTGGATCGATAGTCTAGTGCGGACAATATCCAGAGGATATGTGAAGACGACGGATGTGATACCAGCAATGCCACCACATACAAGGCGAGTCAGGGGCGCGAGATCAGCACCATCTGGAGATTGAAATATGGTCTGCCCTCGTTTAGTGGGAGCTCACTTCGAGCCACAGCGGCGGCGGAAATTGGTAGATACGTACCCGTTTGTAGAAGTTGTAACTGCTGAACTGGACAGCGGAATAGGGGACGATGCGGATGCAGTTGGTTCCATTACCACGCATGAAGCCTCTCCAACCCTCCTCTTGCCACATCTTCTTCAGTGCCTGGCCAACAGACATCTTGTATGCATCCCGCCCAACACTTTGGATCTGCATGAGAATCTTCAATCGTTCCAGGGGGGAGACAACTGTTCGGGAAACCGCACCAGCCACGCCCCCTGCGCAAAACGCGGCGACCACAGGCTGAGATATATTGTCGCGAAACTGAATCATGGCTGGGCTTGGTAGGCTGGCCGCCTTCACCACGTCTGATTCGGACTGTGTGAAGAAATTTTAGCCTTGTTGTTGTCGTCGTCTTGGGTGGGAGTGAGTGGACATACGGCAGACATAATGTGTGCTTGGTTTTTCTCTCTCTCGAAATCGTAGCTCTAAGCGCGCGCTGAATTGATGAACAGCAGAGAGGGCAACCGGTTCAGTGGCGAGTTAAAAGTAGAACCTAATCTCTCCGTGGCCAAAGGCAGAGTTGCGACGGCCGTTCGAGCGGATTGAAGCGAGTGTACCAGAAGAAGAACGCGAAGGAGTGACTATGGGCTTGCAGAAAGCAATGCCATGCTTGTTTGATTCGATTCGATGTAGAGTGGAGAGTTTCGGGTTATCGCTACCGTAACTAGTAGACCAAGGGTTAGTTTAAAGATGGCAATGGCACACGAGGCCGCCATGAAAAGCGAAATAGTAGATAGGACACACGTGCTGGATTTGTATGACTAGCGGCTGCTAGACAAACAGCAATTCGGTAGGGATGCTTGAGCCAGAAGCTCCTGGCGAGAGGGCGCTGCGAGATGACCAGGACCAGGCTGCGACGAGAACAAATCAAAAGATTGGTCGCGTGAGCGGAGTGTGCTGAGGCAGATGACGAGCGGTCTTGGAATTGCCTCTAGCCGGCTGTCGTCGGTCAGGGAGGGTCGGTCACTTGCCACGCTCACAGCCGGGCAGCAGCCAACCACTAAGGAGAGGTAGCCTGACACCGGTCGCAATGGGCGTGTAGACGTGGCGCGGGATCAATTGCAAAGGACAAGGTCGAAGAGGGTAAGACTATTGTACATAGGATAAGAACAAATGCCAAACGACCGGGCCAAGAGAAATGGGAGGATGAGGGGAGGAGCGGCAATAATTTCAACACAGGCCCGTAATTGCGCTCGCCAACACCCGCCGGCAGAGCCTACCACGATCCCGGGTAGGAAGTTATTCTGGAATCTTAGAGGCCCGATAGTGGCGATTACAGCCGCCCCACCCCCCGTCAACCTCCGAGATGCCCAAGCTTCCCCGATCTCCTCATCTTGATGGAACGATGGGGGAGCGGAACGCCGTACGCTGGCTGCTACGGTAGATGCGCAGTCAATCTGAAAAGGCCACCGTTACCACCCCATCGACGCGAATACTTGGGATGAAACTGCGACCTCGAAGCTTGTTGTGCTAGCAGAGCCGCACGCGCATGCCGGATCGTCAACGTAGCCATGCTGGACAATATGTGACCACCACTAATGCAAGGACGGATTGAGAGAAGCTCCGTTGGCGACGATTGATTGCTAGGCATCCTTCATCAACGCTCCGGCCCAGGTCGTTCTCTTCTCCCCCTTCCCCGTTCCCGTAACTGGCAGATCGAAAGCCATCTTGGGGCCCCAGGCTCCCCAGCCAATCATCCCCGTGCCATCTTACCGGGAGATCCCGCTTGAACTCTTCTGGGTGTTGGCTCCCATAGAATGCTGCTTTATTAACAGCACTAGAATGGGCCGATGTTTGATGCATGACCCTTGAGTACAGCTCGTCTTTGGGCAACATGTTCGCTCCATGCTTATATTGTGCAGGTTCAAGAGTGAAATGCGCATGCGTCATTGTTTTTTGGTTGTTATTTTGGTACTGAGTTGACAATTGCTCTGACAGAAATCCAGCAAAGCCGTCTCTGTTGCCCTCATGCGAGGACGGACAAGGGCAGCAGGAACGCTAACCTAGAATCGGTATGGATAACATCCCCATTTGAAGATGGCTAACTACGTCACTCTCAGGAGGCAGCGGTCATTTGCGTGTTGTGGAGCGTCGAAGAATAAAAAGCATA